CTAAATTTTTTTTTTAAAAAAAAAAGGGAAAAAAAATGAAACTCTTGCGGTGGGTAAATTGACTGCATTGATTGCAGCTTTATACATGGGCACACGCATTCGCTATTTAGTGCCACCACTGAAAAAAAAAAAAAAAAAAGCTACCACTCTACTCCTCATGAAGAATTTTTTTGTCAAAAACATCGGTAATTTGTAGGGTATTTAACGATTATTTTCTAATTTTGTGAGCTCTTATTTAATTTTTATTGAAAAAAGAGAAAAAAAAGATAACAGGTAAGAATGATTTTTAGATAAAGAGAAATAGAAAATTTTAATGAGGGTGTGTTTGAAAAATTTTATCCATAAATGCAGTTTTTAGTATGTGAGAATAAGTTATAAGTAACTTATAATAAAAACTCGAGTAGTATTATATTTTGAGACAAAATTCTCTTTACATATTTATTTTATAAAATATAAAATTACTAAAAATAAATTGTGTTAAATTATATTTAGTATTCTAAAGTATTTTTTATGGTATTTAGTATCAAAAACTAATTTTTTTATATTCATTTAGCATTTTAAAGTATTTTTTTAGTAGCTCCTAATGTTCTAAAATAAATTTTAGTACAATTTTGTCCCTGAAGCATTTTTCTAATAGCAAGTAGTACTCTCTGCACTTATGATACTGAATATTACTAAAAATATATATGAATTATGGTGATAGCTACACCAAAAATTATTTTAAGATACTATATGTTATTGAAAAATTGTTTTAGAGTGTTGGAGGAGGGAGTGAGGGAGGAGGTATTTGGTTATTCTTTGAGCACATTGTTCATCCCTCCTGTGCTATAGGATGCATTTTGAAAACTAAAAGTTTAAATTATAAGCTGCCTAGTAAGTGCAACGGCTTATTGGGACAGATAAACAATACACCCCCTTAGAAACATATAAGAAGTTTTCTCCTTGTACGGCTGAAAAAATTCATAATTCTGTCTATGTATAGAATTATGATGTCAAATAGATTCATAAAATCATCAAATCCATTAGACTATGATTTAAATTAAATACTTTTTTCTTATTCTTTCCCGAAAAAAGAAAATCACTCGTATTCACAACCTCACGACTCAAGCTAGATAACTCTCAAATAACTCAAAGGAAAACAAAACCTTTAATTAGGCATTTTATTTCATTTATTGAGGGGTCTCTTCCCCTTTTCTTGTCTATCTATTAAATTATAAGCTTCCTGGTAATTGTTGGAATATTTTTAAAATGAAGAGATGTGTTTTTGAAAAGTCATGTTCTTATATAAATTTATATGAGGGGTTCTGTCTTCATATAAATTAATAAATTTATTTGACGATTTGTATTCTCACATAAATTAATATATTTATATGAAAAATTGTGTCTTCATATAAATTAATATATTTATATGAAAGGCTATGTAGGTAGTTACAATAATAAAAGACCCTACATATTAAATACATTTTATTTATTTAAATTATGTTAGTTCATGAACCAACATATGGGACTTGTATTTAATAAAGTATTATTTCAAAATGCATCTCTTCAAGACATCATTCCATAGTCTGTATAAACCTGTCACCATCACTTCATTTGGATACAACACAATTCAAACACAAAGATCAAACTCACTGCCTTTGTCTTTGAGTGAACATAGAAATAGAGTCAAATTATCACCTTGTAAAGGCCATTGTTTTATTCGCTTGAATCTTGGAAGTGCAATCCATATTCAAGAGTCTTCATTGTATCCTAAAGAAATTTGCCAATCAACCCGACTTGCATCCTATAAGATAAGAATATGTAGAGACACATTAAGTCTGAAGGAAAGTGCTGCCCATACCTTGAAGACATCGTACACCACTTTCTTTTTCCTCTCTTCTTCTTGTACTCTTCACAAAACCATCCCTACCAGCAGTAATAATATTAGATATATTTTATTTTATTTTTATAATTTTAATAGCGACTTCATTTCTCTTTAATTTAATTGAAATGTTACAATATTTTCAAATCAATTAAAAATTTAACAACTTTTTTAATTTTTGATAAGAAAGTGGATAAATGACGAGATGGGAACACTTCGTCATTTGAGGGGGAAAAACTAATTATAATTCTTTCTAATTGATAATTATGTCAGATCATATTAACAATTAATATTAAATAAAGTGAGTGTTAAAGTATGTATAAAACTATTAAAGTTATTAACAATTTTTAGATAAGATATCGAAATATTATTTTCTAAAAATTCCTCTGACAATGCATATATTTTTGTCCAATGTTGATGACTGAATATATTAAATTTTATTATGTTTGATGTACCGATATTTTCTAATTGGAAGCAATTCTACTTGAGGTATTGGCAGACACTAAACGTTAGAAGACAGTGCTTTGAATATGATTATTTTTAATAAGAGAATACTGATGCCTAGAAGAAAAAAATACCTTGATTCAAAAAGAAAATAACTTTAAAAAAATATCTAATATCTAGTTTTGAATGAATTCAATAATGTGTGTTAGTTTTAAGAGATAGGATGAACGAAAAAATTTACCTATTATACTATCAAAAAGAAACACCAGGCATCGTAATAAAATGTTAGGGGTAAAAATACTCATTAATTTTTCAAAACGGGGCAAAAATGCTATTTTTGTTGACTACCCTTAACATCCATCACTTTTTCTTTTGTGAATCCCACTAAGCATACACGTGTTTCTTTCTCACTACTCACTTTGTCGTCTACTCACACATTATCACACACCCTCACTTTTTCTTTTCATTTCTCTATCTCTCTACTCCCCTCTCTTCTTCACCTTTTATTTTCTCGAAAATTGGACACACACAGTCATCAGAATCTAGAAGCCATGAACACTGGCATTGCTAACTTCCAATCCATTCTCGACAAACCCCTTAGTTAGCTCACCAGTGAAGATTGTCAAAAGTTCCGTCTTTCTTTCTCTCTCGTACATTTTTTATTTCACTACAAAAAAACAGCACATTACTGACAAAAAATTATTCCGTTGCTAATTTCTAATAGATTACCAATAAAAATTTCGTCACTAAATTTAGCAATGGATTAGTGACAAAATTTATGTCTGTCGCTAATCCGTCAGTAAATATTTAACGACAGAATTTTTTTCATCAAAAATTTTCATTGCTAATTCTATCACTAAATTGTTTATCACAGAAGTTTTCATCACTAATTCCGTCACAATTCCGTCGCTAATTTTAAATTTCATTATTTTAGATTATAACCTTACAACAATTTATATAATAACATGATTAAGAATATAATGATTTAAATATATTTTTAATTGTAAAATAAATTGATATATTTGTAGAGTTAGTGTTAATGAAGGTATCATCATCATTCATGTCATCATTAAGTACATATTGAGAATAGGAAGACAATTTCTTAGAAAACTTGTTTATATTTCATTAAAATCAATTCCTCTTGATTATTAATAATAATTAAAAATAATAAGAATATTAATAATTTTCTTATACAAACTAATACAAGAAAGAAATAATTTTGTCATATGTATAATATATTGAAAGATATAATATATAATAGAAATTCAAAACCAAAAAATGAGTTTATATGAACACAAACTAATATTGAAGTGAATTTTGAATTTCAATCATTAAACAATAAAATTTAATTGTGATATAATTAATACGGATAATATAGATTGGTTTTGGTCTTCTATGCAAAAACAAATGATATAAATAAAGAATTTTAAGAAAATAAATTACATAGGATATATACATATACAAGGAGGAGAATATTGTTTCTTATCATCTATTCAAATCATTTAATTTTTTAATAGAATAATTGATTAGATTTTATTATAGTAGTTATTTTTTGAATAACTAGATTTTTTTCCTAACTATAAATGGTTTTCATCAAATATATAAAACATATATAGATAATATAATATAAAGCTTAGGAGCTTTGAGCTTGAAGTTTAAAGGAGATTTGGAGCTTCATTTCTCATTTTCCTAGTCATTCTAAGATTATTTTGATCTATTGTATGGATTAAAACTTATTTTAACTCTTTCTTTAATATTAATGATAATGTTATTTTGTTTTTACCTTGAGTTTAGTGCTTTCTTGTAATTGGCCACCACTTGAAGTGATTTGTTTAATTGGTTGAAACTTGAAAAAGTCAAATTGATCTTTGATCTTGGGTAAAAACCTGCTACATTGAAAGTTTATTCTATTAAATGGATGGTTTGTTGATAGAATAGAAATATATCTATTAATCTAGCATTGGTCAAAAAAAGATTTTGATTTTCAAAGTGTAATGTTGTCAACAAAAGCAAGAGATTGTGAAGGTTTATTAAGATTACAAAATTTGGTTTTGACTTGACAAAGCTTAATTAACATTTGTGAACCTTAGACTGACTTAACTTATCATTAAAACACTAAATGAGAAGTTTTTAATCAAGTTTTATGAAATACAATAGTGAGAAATAATCCTAGATTCTTATTTGTCTCAATGTTAAGTTTTTAGCTTCGATTTTAAGCTTTATTTTCAAAGTACCTTTCTAAGACAACTTCATTTACACATTAATTTCACTTAACCTAATCATAAACACAATTGTGATTTTTAACTTGTCTGGCCTTAACCTCTAAGGGAACGATATTTTTTATACTACTAGCGACTCATGCACTTGGAGTTAAACTAAATGGCGAACAGCAGTGATGATGACATACTCTTGCTTTGATGGTGGGGAGACAACAATCATGGAGATACTTGTTATTTTTTTGTCTAACTTAAATATTATTTTGCCACATCTACCTCCACGTCACTATTTTAACTACACAAAATCACAACTCATATAGCTATCGGACAAGGAAGAAAACAAGCCAATTTGTTGTCAGGATGAAAATTAACTAACAGTTTTAATCACTAATTAAATTAGATTTTTTCTATGCACGGTAAAGGCATATCACTTTAAAAATGTAAAAATAAAGAAGTTTGATAAGTACCAAAACAGTGTCTTATAGCTGAAAATGCACACATCAGGTAGATTCTACACCAGCAAAGTAGAAGGTTTAAAGGAATATACTGAATCTTGTCATAGAGCATTAAATGATAGTAAAGAAAAGAAAAGATGCAATAGATAAAGAAGTTGGTGGCCTCCGACAAATTTATAAGATAAAGAAATATGTGCTTTTTGGGCTGTTTTCTTTTTTTGGGCTGAACCTCGGGGCTCGTTTGATCCATGGAAAGCACGAAAAATGGAATCGAATGTTAATAACCATAAATTCAGCAGGTATGATACTAAAAATGATGGAAGAATTTTATGTTTTATATTTGATTAAATAAAAATAAATTAAAATCGAATGAACCAAAATCCCCCCTATTGTGGTTTCTTGGGAGAAGGGTTTTAAAAATAGTGTGATTCTAGCATTTGAGAATCAGGATTGATCACATTTTTATGGAGAATCATCCTCCTAGCAGTGTGATAATTAGACTACCCATAGAATCAAGATTCATACAACAAAAACCAAACCAAACACATTAACAATGCAATTAAGATTATTAGGAATTGGGGTTCTAAGAATCCAATCAAAGAAGCCCTCACAGTTCAAAAAATTCTATGCAAAATACTAGAATAATACATTTTAATTTCTTTGCATGTAAAATACAAAATCTATAAAACAAAATCTTACTCTTTCTGTCCCAAAATGCAAGTCACTTTGAACTACTTTACGCAAACCAGTAAAGTTGGTTAAAGTTAATTAGACATCTTGTACCTTTCAAAAATTACTTGAACATTCCAAAATAACCCTTATTAAACTGTACTCTCATATCAGTCATATCTCTCTTAGTGTCTCTCATAAATAGGGGGCAAATTTGGAAGGAAAACATTTAATGCTCACTACATTCTATGAAATATGACTTACATTTTGAGTATCCCAAATCTTCCAAAACGTGATTAACATTATGAGACGGACAGTGATAGTATTTTGCATAGAACTTCACAAATTTTAGAAAGCCCAAACTTCAGAGGATCAAGGGTCAAGCATAAAAAGGACCAAATAAAAACCTTTGTTTTTGAAACGTGGGACAAGCCTCTTTGAAGTCTTTCCTCTAGTTTCTGCAATTCTTCAAGTGTGCATTCTTGAAGTTCTTCCCCATTCAATTGCCTTTAGAATTTAGTGCAAGTCATGTGCCTCATTAACATAATCTTCTCAACATTTATTCGTGGTAGGTATGAATTAAAGTTGCGTACCTCAATCCACGAGTCCTTTCTGCTACTACCTTGTGCAGCTTATTCTCATCACCTCCAAGCTTGTACATATTTCAAAAAAAAAAAAGATTAACCTTCCATGATTTTCCATTCCTTCATATGTTATCATAAATTGATTTCAATATTATGTCATCCCTCGAAGTAATTCTCCCATCTTTTCAGTTCTCCTATGGAGTTAATTCAAGACCTAGGGTTTTCTGTAGGGCAATGCAGCCTGATCACTTACTGTTAATGCATATTATGGAATATGCATAAGATTGGCCCCTATTCAAAGGAATCCATGAAGTATGAACAAGACAAAGAGTCAAACAGTACAGCTTAATTTCTTCAATGAGTTAAAATCTTCCCAAGAAGCGGATCCCTTTTCCCATCTGATTCATTTGGTAAGTACTTCCTCAGATATTCAGTTGTCGAATTCCATAATGAATTAAACAAGAAACCATTTGTGCCCCCACGCGTGTGTGAGTCACAATTTGAGAGTAATTAACCAGAAAAGAAGTCAAGTATGTTAACCAAAAAAGAAAAGAAAAGGAATCAAGTTAATTAAAAGGAGCTATGTGCATTGACACAAAACTTGAGATAAGTCATGCTGTGTGATTGATATTAATATATTGATTACCTGCAGATCAGCAGATGATTGGCCTAGTCTTTGAACAGTAGAATGTTGATCGTACCTTTCAATTACCCGCTGCATATTGAAACAACAGAAATAGTAACTCTTTTGAGTGACTTTCTATTTCCCTTCAAGATCAATCAGTGGAAAAGATCTCATCAGATCAATCAAGCACAGTTTTATGTCAAATTGTATGGAGTAACGAAATTCTTTCAGAATCCCAATGGGAAAACTCAGAACCTTCAACTGTGGATATCAATCATGATTCCGTTACTTCAAGTCTATGAAGTTACTTTCTCATTGGTTGACCTTTTAAGTTATTAATTACCAACAGAAACAGAAGTACTGAAACATACACATATAATAATCTTTAAGGTTACAAATGCAACAAGAATTATATAGATTCCAACTAGTGTTTATCAACTGCCAAGCTGGCTAGCTAGTTTAATGGACTACAGAGAATGAAATAATATGAGTTTAAATATAGATAGTTAATGATAATGAGCTGTGCACTTGTGCAGTTTCATATTTCATTCTTGAATCGACCAGTGTGATATCATGTAAATCTCTCTCTCTCTCTCACACACACCAATAGAAATGCGTGTTTATGTATGTATGTATGAGAAATTGAGACTGATAATATGATATATAAGAACCTTGAGCTAGCATAATCAAAGAGCTTGCCAGTAGACGAGAAGACTAAGAGGGCAATCTCAGCATCACAAAGAGTCGAGAGTTCATGTGCCTTCTTGAAGAGACCTTTCCTTCTCTTTGAGAAAGTCACTTGTCTTGCTGTTATACTGTCAATTTTCTTTATCTGTATCTTCCTTCTCGTCATTTCCCTTCTCCTTCTCAGAATCATCAGTAACGCGAGGTTATTATATACGGTAAATTATAAAGTGAAAAATCCAACACGCACGCACACAGCAAAGTTGAATTGGGTGGAAAACTGTACTTGAACTGAACAATAGAGAGGCTATACAGACAGTAAATCCAGTGGGTTTCACACGAGAGAGAATCCCTCCAAGAACCGACATATCGAATATGAAAATCGGGGGAGAAGAGAGAAAAGGATAATGCTTTTGCTGTTAAATATATTAAACTAGAAAGATTAGTGATCTTGAAAGAAGAAATAATTAAAAACAATTCCAAAGGAAAGATATGTAGAACTATATGAGAATTTCAAACTGGGCGACCAAATTGGGTGAAGGGAAATTCATCCGTCTTTAAGGATGTGAAAAATGGAAAGCCAGAAAAAAAAATGTTTTTGGCCAAGAACCTCGAACTACCAAGTTACTGGGGCAAATAAGAAAACAATTGATAAAGCATTTTCAGAAAGAAGAAGAGTTAAGCTGGAGCTCATGCAAACATGGAACCCTACCTGGAAGATTGTAAGAGATTTCTTGAATATTGTAGGCTTCTAGCTGTTGTCCTCCTTTTATCTTCTCAGCTTTGGTGGTTCCCACGTTAATGGCATTTCAAAGGAAATTGATATATGCGCCTTTTCCTTTTATGGGCAAGTTGATGTGTTCCCTGTAGCCACCACTTCTATTACATTTTCTTCTATTTCCCGTTTTACACAATTGGCCGTCATAAATCTTTCTGGCTTAGTTTTATAAAGGGAAAGTAAAGGTAAGCTTGTTAACTACGAGAACTTTGGTTTATGCCTTTTCCTCGTTTTTTTTCCCAGTTAAGCATGAAAGGAATTATTTCAGATCATGTTGAGTAGACATATAATCTGATGAGTAATTTCAAGTGACTACCTTGACATGGGTTGTTCAAAGTGATCTTAATCCAAGATCTCAAATTATCAAAGAAATCATAAGAAATTTTGACAGACAATATCCTAAAACAAACAACCGGAGAAAAAGGGCAGTTAACAAAAAAAATATGTAGTAAAGATTCCTCTTCTTCATAACCAAATAAACAGAGATCCGAGACATGAAGATGGTGTAGTATTAGAAGAATATCATCAGAAGGCAAATTTTCCAATTTATTCATGAGAAATTATTACAAGATTATCATGGTAATTATTTTTATCTTTATCTCTCATTCAAATGCATTTTTTTTAAAATGTATAAATACTAAAGAGAATGGTAGTTATTAGTCAAGGATTGCATAAAAAATTTAATACTTCCTCCAATTCTCAATATATACAAGAACTATTTCATTTAAGGCATCATATTTGTACCATTTAAATATGAATTTGAATGGTTCAGATTTAATTTCTTCTTAATTTCTGTTATTTGTTATTAGCTAACATCATCATTTTGCTTTCTATTTTAATTTCATTTTAGACTTAGAAGACTCTAATAATAAAACTTGTTTTTAATAAAGTCCCATCATTAATAGGACTTAAGTAAGGCAAATTTACCTATATATTGCAAATAGTTAAAAAAAAAATACCCAAATCTTATAAAATAAAAAGTATTTATTAAAATGTTACACTTGAAATCGTTCATACAAAAAAACGATTCTAAATTTGTGAAGAAGTTGTTCTTAGATTTTAACTTAAATATTAACTTTTTTTGTTAAGTTGAAAAGCTAAAATCATTCACTTGGTGAACGAGTTTCCCATTCTTTCCTCTTTTTTTCCTGTCCTGTCTCTTACTTTTTATTTTTTCCCCTTTCTCTCCCATCCCACTCTCCCACATTTAGATAAAATGAATAAATGAGGTATGAAAATAACAAAATATGAAGATTCATAAGATAAAGGATTAAAAAAATATAAAAATGTAAAAATCAGAAAAACAATCAAAAAATATTTATCAATTTTTTAAATCAATTTATTTAACTTATACATTAAAATATAATTTAATATTACATATGAGTATTTTAAGAAAATCAAATCATATTTGTTATAATTAATTAATTAGGTAATAGATGTTAGTTGTCACCCCACTATTATTGTCTTTTTCAGGGTAACAGAGTAAACATGGACTTGCTAATGTCACTTTCAGCACCTGTATAGGATCCTCGTATTGTGATATATTTATTTGAAACTTTTTCACACTATAATATTTTGACCTTTTTCTTTTCTTTTCCGTCTAATTTTTTGTAGTGTATGGCTTAATCTATAAGCCTCATGTGATCTTCATTTGAACGTTCATGAGTTGAAATAACTGTGTCTGGTCCCCATGTCAGATCTTTTTAAGGTGAGAGAGAGAGAGAGAGTCCTTTCCTCATCACATTTATATTTATAGTTACTAGTTAAGAGTTAATATCATGAATTTTCTTCCACCAAAAAAATGTCCCCGTAATCTAATTCATTAAAAATAGTTAGAAATATTTTCCAAAAAAATCAGAAATAGTATTTATTAAATAAATTTTAATTTATTATTTTCTTTAGTTCAAAATATAAGAACCATTTTATAGTATAATTTACACTATAAAATTAGGTTTATATTTAGGATCGGAGGAATCTAGCTAGTTACTTACCTTTTGGTAAATCTTATTTTGGTAGTACTCATCTGATCCTTAATATAAGATTTATTTAATTAATTTGATTAGATTAAGGAAGTTAGGTAAGTTAGTTAATTATAAGGAATATGACATGTTTTTCATAAAACATCATAATCATCTTCCTTAATATCCTCTCTCTCTTCTACTTGATTATGGTTGAGGAAAATTCACAAGGATAATTTAGAAAAAATTTATAAATATGAGAAATAGGTCTTATATTTAAGACTAAAATTAACTCAATAATTAGGCCATATATTAAGAACCGGAGGAGTATCATCTATTTGAGCATACTGAAATAGAAAATATAAGGAAAAATTACATGCAGATCCCATAGAAGATAATTAATTTTGAAAAGGTCCCTAAAAATCCCCAAATGCTTCCTAAGTCCCCAGGGACCTTAGAGCAAAAAATTTAACTTGTGGAATTACCTACTTGCCTTCACCGAATAACAACATGCACAGCTACAATCACAACCTACACAGCAGCCAATCACAACCTACATTTAAGTCATTCACAACATGCACAGCAGCCAATCACAACTCACACTCAACGAATGACAACATGCACAGCATACAATCACAACCTAGACAGCAACCAATCACAACCTTTTCCATCAGTGAGGGCAAGTAGGTAATTTCACAATTTTAATTTTTGCTCTGAAGTCCCTTGGAACTTAGGAAGCATTTGGGAATTTTGAGGGATTTTTTCAGAATTAATTGTCTTCTATGAGACCTGTGTGTGATTTTTCCAAAATATAATAACATGATATTGTTATGTTGATTATGAATAACATGTGTGTAGGTAGAGAGGGAGGGAGTACGCAATTCATTTTTATGCAATAAAATTTTAATGTTCTAATGGGAAGGATTTTTTTTTTTTGGTCCAACTAATGAGAAGGACTTTAGTAAGATAGTAAATCTTGATTAAAGAAAAAAGGTTTTCGGACGAGTTCTTCAAGGAAAAGAGAAATAATTACATCAAAAATTTTTTTCTTTTCTTTTTTTAAAAAAGAGTGCTAGGGAGCGAGAATGACGTGATTATATATTTGTGATAGATTATCTCCACCAAAAGCAGCAAAGCTACCAGTACGAGAGTACATCAATGTCAGTGACGAGTACATCTGCGCTCTTCCAAATAATAATTCACCACCATAGGTAAAAAAATAATTACAATATTATATTATCAATAAATTCTTGCATGCGCCTGCTGCACCGCCTCATTTGTGACCTGACCAATCAGAATATGTTTCAATTAAAATATTACTTCCAATCTTAATTATAAAAACTAATTGAATAATTTAAAGATATTAAAAAAATAAATTAAATTAGTTATTTACAATAAATAGGTGTTGTCTTTTTTAAAATATTTTTACATTAAGTGTATTGATTAGAACTATCGTTATTAAAAGGACTATTTTGAAAAATATATATAAATATAAGAGATAAAATAGATTAAAATATTATATTTAGGATTAAAATAAAAGTCAAATGAGATCTTGTATTAAGAATCAGAGGTAGTAATAATTACAGGGAAAGACTCGGCGATTTCAACTTCCGTTAAGAAATTTCAAAATTTCCATCGAAGAACCCTAACCTCTACACTGCAGCCAACGCTTTTCTTCGTCCGTGAAGCTCCGCCGCTGCAGCCAACACTCTTCTTCGTCCATGGAGCTCTGCCGCTCAACGCACTCGCCGTCGATTATTTAGGGAATTGGTTGTCGGCCTCGCCTTTGCCGGCAACTACGTCAGCCCAAAGGTTCCCTTCTCTTCCTCTCCTCTATTCTTTTTCCAATCCAACCTCACGCCAATCCCTTCCTAAATTATCCGCAGGATATTGTCGTTGAAGGATTGAAGGCCACAAGATTAGGACCATTAGTGTCTGTGGTGAAGTTGAATGAGGAATCGATGATGGTGCTTTTTTTTTTTTTTGACCAAAAGTGATGGTGCGTTCTAACTCATTAGCAATGGAAGGCCACAGTATTCTCTTCCATTATTTTCTTCGATTTCAATTTGTTTATATTTGTTTTAATTTACTAGTTTATTAAGTTATGTTGTTTCTACCTAAAACTTCTTGATTATTTTATAATTTTACAGATCTAGTATTCAATCAAATGTTGATGATGGATAACCAACCTCTAGTCTTTGATATTCAATTTGGTCATTCCCCAATTTACGACCTTTCGGTGAAATTCAGCTAATGGCACATTCTTGAACATATGGGAAAAAAGCTTTATAAAAATGATTTGAAAATGCCTCATCATGTTCTGTGTCAATGCTGCTGATCATTTTTTTTTTAATTGTTTGTGCACTGCAAATGATATTGTTGCTTTAAATGCAGGAGGTATGATGCAGCAATTGTTTGGATTAGATTGAAACTTTGGGGGCAAGATTATGGGACGAGATGGACAGAGGAAAATGACCG